ATTGGTAAAGCACGCCTATGTCGTCTTCGAGGTAGACAGGAGTGAACATAACCAAATCCTCATGGGAACAATCAGTAGAGATACCTTAGAGTGGCTGCTGCGTCGGGAGACTGGGCAGGCATGAGGATGCCCAATGTACAAAGACGTCGGTCGATTGTGATATCCTAACATAACAGAGATTTTAAAAATGGAATACGTCATGGTTGTTACATTTTTAAATAGGTTGAGGTATTGCCTGGACTGAATATAAATGGGAGAACAATAAACAGTTTTAGATCCGCGGATGACACAGTGCTACTAGCAGAATGCGAACAGGAACATTAGTGGTAGTACATTTTACCCCATCAGGGCATCACACAGAGCGATAAACACCCGGTGACATATAGTGCCACCATGCGGTTGAGGATCGCCCGTGGAGAGATCCTAGAAACTGCGTTCAACCGTCAGGCTATATTGCGGCCCCAGGCAAAAGTCGGGGTGGGTCTTCAAAATAACGACAAACTGTATCCCACAAAGGGACGACCCTTAGATTTTCTCACGACAACAGCCAGGGTGGGGGCTTTAAAACAACAAAACAATTACGTCCGACATTAAAAATCATAATTTTACTAAGGGACATAACCTAATAATTTGTAGACACGTAGTTCTGCCAAAGTAGTAACCTTGATTTTGAAATTACCATTTCAATCAGCAATGTATTTAATTCTCAATGCTAAGTATACATATTTTGTCATGGATTCTTCAAATGTGACAGGAAGTAAAAACATTTGTAGATGCCTACCTGCAGTGTTTTGAAGAAATGTCAAGTATTTTACGCCAAGAAACCTGTAAATGAAACGCTGTAACCACAGCCAAATAATACATCAGTGACTTTCATTAACGTATAGTACATGTTCTGAAGAAGTTAACGAGTGCGGATGTCCAAGAAAGGTCACACCCGTTACGTGGAAATAGTTACTAGGAAACGGTAGAGGATTATTAATATAAATTAGTCCTTGTGAGATGCAATTTTTTTGGGTTGTTATTTTGAACCTCCTTAGGACGTAATTTTTCGTTATTTGAAGCCCTACTCTGGCTCTTGCCGGGTGCCGCAATATATCCTGGCCATAAATATGGTCTATTGGCTGAACGCGGTTTCTGGGACCTCTCTACGGTGATCCTCATCCACATGGTGGCACTAAGTGTCATCGGGTGTTTATCGCTTGTGTGATGTCCTGGTGGGGTAGAAAGTCAGTCAGTCAGTAAGTAAAATAGTAAAGTAAAGGGCCCTTTTCCCCGCCTTTTAGGCATATTAGGCTAGACCTATATTTTATAGTAAAAAGGTACAAGATGGGTGATGTGGTCAGCATCACGCCGGCCGCCTCTTCTTCCCGGTACCCACTCAAGGCTGGGTGGACCTGGGAGCCAAGGTCATTTTTGAAGAAAACTCCGGCTCCGCCAGGGAGCGACCCTTCGATCCGCGGCGTGCGTCAAGCCGCTCAGCCATGGCGACTACAGCCGCATTATAGCCCAGCCATAAATATGGCCTAATGGCTGAACGCGGTTTCTGGGACCTCTCCACGGGTGATCCTCATCCGCATGGTGGCACTTTGTGTAATCGGGTGTTTATCGCCAATCGGTAAAAAGGAAAGAGTCGTTTCCGTTACCTTTTTTTAAAGTGTTTTCTGTCGTCTGTTTGCTCTTTATTGATTAACGTTTTTGTTAAGTATAGTTGGCAGTAGTAGTAGTACATTTTACCCCACCAGGACATCACACAAGCAATAAACACCCGATGACACAATGTGCCACCATGTGGATGAGGATCACCGTAGAGAGGTCCCAGAAACCGCGTTCAGCCAATAGACCATATTTATGGCCAGGATATATTGCGGCACCCGGCAAGAGCCAGAGTAGGGCTTCAAATAACGAAAAATTGCATCCTTATAAGGAAGGTATTTTGTTTGACAACAGCCGGGCTGACTGACTGACCTTCTACCCCACAAGGACACCACACAAGCGATGAACACCCGATGACACAATGTGCCACTATGCGGATGAGAATCACCTTGGAGAGGTCCCAGAATTTTTTTTTCTTTCTTTCTTTTTTTCTTTCTCCAGAAACCGCGTTCAGCCTTTAGGCCATTTTATGGCCAGGCTATATTGCGGCCCCTGGCAAGAGCCAGAGTAGGGCTTCAAAAAACGTAAAATTTCATCCTAAAAAGAACGTCGCCAACTGGTAAAAAGGTAAAAATAGTTTCCCCTGCCTTTGTGGTCCATCTGTGTTTGTATCCCCTCCCCATCGGTTGACAACAGCTGGGCTATCGCTAATTGGTAAAAAGGAAAGAGCAGTTTTCCCTCCTTTCGTGGTCTATCCTTTGTTCCTATCCTCTCCCTCCGGTTGACAACAGCCGGGCTATCGTCAATCGCTCGCTTTATACCCCTTGTAGTGTTTCAGTGTGGCAGATACTAGCGAAAGATTCAATGTGAGAAGTTCAACAGGTTGCTTGTTAGAGGCTGCGATATCGGAAGATGTGTTCACAGTGTGTACAGACAGGAGGGTGATGTATTTCTGTTCAGCACAGTGACAGGCGATGAATTACGGTGTTACCACTGGGACGACCAGATACAAAGAAAGTGACAGACAGCGAGAGTTGAGCTGAGTTAAGTTGAGTCAAGAATTGACATCGCAGACCTTAGGGCATTCCCATTCCTGCTTCGTTCTCATCTTCAGCAACCAGCGCAGAGTTGCAATACTGATGGTTTGGGTTCAGTCTGGTTTTATGTCCGTCTTGCCTTTCCTCTGAGTGTAGTGAGCCGGCCAGACCTCTGGTTTCACCCAAGTGCCTTATTCTCTCCAGGCCATAATAATATTGTCTCTCAGCGAGAGAAAGGGGAGTGGGCTTGCAGGACTAAGAAAAGTCCAAAAGTTTAAATTATAGGTTTGACCACGAGATGATGTTGCACCAATGGGCGCTTCGTCCGGTCGTGGAAAATCTGTCGTGAACACATGTATTTTCCGAAACATTCATGTCCAGTCTATCGTTGTTGTCTTCAGCAACATTTGTAGAACTCCGAATTCGAAGGAAGCCTCAAATTAATCGACTCTTACGACATGCTATTGGGCAGGCAATTGGTTAATTCCCCTCCCCACACCCCTAACACTAGTACCCAGGAACCCATGCGGGGATGTTACGTTGTGTTATCATAATCGTCATAACTGCACATTGGGCTTTCCCATGCTTAGTCAGTCCGGCGATGCAGCAGCCACTCCAATGTGCTTCTACTAAATGTTCCCATGAGAGGTTTGTTATAATGTCTCCTATCTCGGCCTCTAGGGCGGCCTAGACGTGCTTCACCATGCTTTACCTCCATGTCACGCAATCATGTTAATGTCAGAGATTCGTCATTATCTACTAGCCCAGTCCGTACAGAGTTGATGATATCTGCTGTGTCCATGCTTCTCCCTACATGCGTTTGTACATTGCTTGCCAACTGGTCCGCTCGCTCATTGCCCTTTACGCCAGCATTACCAGGTGTACAGATCCAGGTGTAGGAGGTTAAGTGCGATTTTCGAATGCTTTTTACCCATTCAGAGCGCCATATTGCATTTTGCTATTTTCTGAGTCTGATACAATTACTTCATGTATGGCTGTTTGGTCTGCTGTTTATGCTAGTGCTCTAGAAGCAGCGGTCATCTCCGTGGTCATGCATGACGTAGTTGCCTGGTATGCCCTGCTGTCTTCTTTTATTGTTGTCCCCCATCCGTTGTGCTGTGTATGCCCATGCTGACCTTGATCCGCGCTTCACAGATCCATCTGTGTAGATGATAGCAGATCATGTGCTTCTTCTAAGAAGGACTAACATTTGATCTTCGCCTTTTTCGTTCACCTGAAGACATATATATGTTGTGTCAATTCGCAACATGGCTGCCATATGTGCCCTTCGGCTGACACATCCTACTTCTGCAGGCATTTGTTGTCCGGGTTTAGCCTTCGAGACAACATTAGATAAGAAGGGGGCAGGGAAAGAAAACACTATATTGCGACATCAAAATGCCCCCCCCCCCCTCATTTTCCGGGTTTCGCCGAACACTTACCCCTATAAGTATCTAGCCTAGGGAGTCGCCGTGGCTTAGCGGCTAGACGCAGATCGGTAAGTCGTGGGTTCGCTACCTGGTTGAGCCGGACTTTTTTCAAAAATGACCTTGACTCCCAGGTAGACCCAGATTTAAGCCTATACAAAATATAGGTCTAGCCCTATATGCCTAAAGGTGTGAAAAGGGACGTTTACTTCACTATAAGTATCCAGCGTAGCAGGAAAAATTAATTTGCTTCCTTGTAGGCATGAGCGACTGGGGACAGTCAATGTTCATTGCCCACTTTAAAGACGATATTCATCGCACATCGGACATGATCATAATGGCCCCGATCTTCTCCCGAGTATGTCTGCAGGTGTTTTTAGGCTGATGTAACGACGGGTGGCTCCGCATGGTTTTCCTGTCAAACTGCTCCAACTGGTACACTCAGGGTGTGCAGTCTATTCAGTTAAAAATCATTTCCCTCGAAACTGAAAACCTCACAGCTCTTAGTCTGTCGTATGGCATTGATGACATATTTGGACAGTCAAGTACTGAGAAAGGCAACGTTGGTAACTGCGTCCTTTCGTCTTTTACATTGTAGACATAATTTGAAACCTTCGAGTGAGTTATTTGTGATTGTGAAAGACTAGTGTTGCTCATTTCTAATTTTAGAGCATTATAAAATGTCAGTTTTGCTCTGTAAACAATTCCATAGCAAGTTGCTAATCATAACTTTTATAATAAAAAAATAGTATCAGTATGTTTTTCATATTTTAAAAATCAGGTAGCAGAAGGACCTAGATAAATGAACATTTACGGCATGAGGCGTTCACAAAGATCTCTCTTCCACCTTACAAAAAACACATGGTCTTTAGTCATAACTGACGTCATCGAAACTTTAAATAGCAGTTGACCCCACGTGACCAAAACAGCAGAAGACAAGATGGCGTCGTTCATCGGTGTACCGCTAAAAAAGACTTTTGAGGTCGATTTAATTAATCCGCTGAAAACATTCATCCGAAATACTTTTAGTCAGGCTAACCCGGAAGACTATGGCCAGGCATTGACTGAGTTTAATAAGCTGAGAAATGTGATGATAAAGAAATCCGTGGACAAACACGAATCGACGTTGGAAGTTTTGTATCGGCAAGTTGAAAATTTGATCAGAATGAAGCTTTCTTCTTGTTTCTTCTTTATTTATTTTTGTAACTTCTACTAAGTGGTTACGTTTAAATGTATATTATGTTCTTTGGTTATTTTCGAGAAATGCAGATAACAGAATAATACAAAACCATTAACTCATTATTAGGTTAATGGTTAACTATGATACTATTTACTACACAAGTTAAGTAGTGGTAACTTCTCTGAGTTTTTGCATGCAATGTGAATATTTTACTTAAACGTTAGTTATCTGCATTTCTCGAAAATAACCAAAGAACATAATATACATTTAAACGTAACCACTTAGTAGAAGTTACAAAAATAAATAAAGAAGAAACAAGAAGAAAGCTTCATTCTGATCAAATAATAATAATTATTATTATTTTTAATTATATTTAGAACACCTTTCTTCTGGCTTATGAAATCAAATAAGAAAATTACTGTAGAGCAGTAGCACCAATCTCTTAATGAATAAGGCAAACATCCTGAAGACCACTTCTTGCGACTGGTGATGGGATACCCTGTTTAGCCCTTCTCTTCTGGCTTATAAAATGGATATGCTGATCAGAGTATGTTATAGTTTATATTGTGGCAACATAGGCAACAGCAGAATGAACACTTATAATGGATAAGGCAGACTTGAGACTACATCCAAATAATGAAAGATACATTGTTAGATGAAAGAATATAACTGCTTAGGGGCCTGCGTTAGCACAGTCGATAAGAAGCTCGCTTTCAAATCCAGCTGCGACTCGCTGCAGCCCACGGTCGGTGTTCGAAACTGGGCAGCTCCCAGGGTTCACCCAGCCTCTAGGTAATGGGTACTAGAGTGATTCTCTGGGGTAAATGGAGGAACGTCCCTGTAGCTACAGAGTTACGTGCGGACGGCAACACAGGCGGACAGTTTCTTATCAGCTGTCAGTACAGGTGGCAAAGCATATATGGTTTATAACTGTGTGCAATGACGCTGGTTCACATCTTCCGACTTTACCTTTACCTTTTTATATAACTGCTTAATTTCAGAGCCGCTATGCGCAGTCAATAGTAGACTTGCTTTCAAATCCAACTGCAACTCTCTGCAGTGCACAGCCACTGTTCGAAACCAGGTTGTTCCCGAGATTCAGCCAGCCTCTAGGTAATGGGTACCAGAGTTAACACTGGTGTACATGGAGGAACGTTGTTGTAGCTACGGAGTTGCGTGCGGATGGCGTCACAGGCAGTTTCTTATCAGCTGTCTGTACTGGTGGCAGGACACTTACGGTTTATAACTGTGCAGCGACGCTAGTTCACATCTCCCAACTTTACCTTTACTAAATGTAGTGTTAGGTTAGTTGCGAATCCTTTACAGGATGTTGCAGAACCAACCCCAACATTCCCTGGCTGTTGTGTTGTTTTTCTAGGCAAAATTACGTCCAGTAGTTTGCCTTTGCTTTTTGGACGGCCGGCTTTCTTGATACCACCGTCAAAACCAACGCAAGGCACATGCCGGCACACTCCCATGAGCTCTCAGTCCCCACCTTTAGCTGCAAGTGAAGTGTTCAAATTCCTATGGCACCAATGACTGTCTGATTGTATATCCATCTGGCCTTTCCTTTGAGTGTTAAGCATCGGCCAGATCCCCTTGTAGCTCCTTGTGGCGCCATTCTCCTCAGACCATAATGATCTGTTTGTGCCTCCGCACTGTTCACTTGCTCCCAAAGAACACTCTCAACATCCAGCTTGTCATACATCTGTTCACTACCAGCTGGTGCTGAACCAGCCAGTCTATCTGCCTGCTCATCTCCCAACACACCAGCATGATCTGAAGAAAATATCCAAAGGACGCTAACAACCCATGGCCTCTGGAGTAATGCTTGCCACTTTGCAGGGAGTGCAGCATACTCTGTGAGTAGTTACATTTATGACATGTGTGTACAGCTGATTCTCTGTTCAGCAGATACTGCCTCCACCTCCATTCTCAAACTAAATATTATGGTATCATATGCCAGGCTTTTTCTTCACTAAGCTTTTGCTATGAATCCCCATGCACTTCATCTTCCTCTCAACACAGAGCCATCTGTATAGGTAATCACATCACCTTAAAAGGGGAGGGGGACGGCGTGGGCGTCATGATTCATTTGTTGAACTTCTGATTCTGCAGCACTAACAATGGAAAAGATTAAGAGACAAGTAAATCTTTGACAAACTAGCAGACTGTGGGTGATGTGGTTATCATCATGCCCCCCATTTTTACTTTCTAGGATGTTACCTGGTAGCCATTATGGCTGGCTGTACCTTGGCGCCAGTGTCAGGTGTGAAAAAATTCAAACTCAATGCCGATTTAAACCCAAGATCTGCGCACCACCAGGCAAGTCTCTAACCACGCTGCTGCCTCAGCTCCCTGTAAGAAACAAACTGAACCCAGAAATTAATGATAAACAGAGTGGATCTGTAGAGGAAAAGGCAATTCAGGATAATATCAGACAGAGCTATATAGAAGTATAAACTGATTCTTAATTCCCCATTCAAGGCAACCTACAAGTGTAAAACAATGCAGCTACTAGAGAATCTTCATCGTTTATCTGAGTGACATAAATGTGTTATGTTGTTTACAGCACAGCTCCGATAGAACATGAACATTCCCTGCCATCCAAGGAGGCCTCCATAAATGCAGAGCAAATACTTGGTGCGTTGAAACTGGGTTTCTCAAGGAATTGTCACGTCCAGCTCCTGACTGTTTAACCTCACTTAACTCCACACAAAAGCAGACTTTGTTGTGTTTTTCAAAATCAGCCTTGACTCCCAGGGTGACTCAGCTTAAAAATTGGGTGCAAGTTGATTTTGTAGGAAGACCAAACAGTCATTATGACCACACCTGTCCAGTGTCGATTGGTCAATTGGAAAAAAAAATATATATATATATCTAGCAGCATGTGCCCAATGTGTGAAAAGGGTCCTTCACTTTATCAAGTAGATCAAGAAGATATAACATGCACAAGTGACTTCATTTTAAGATTGTTAATAAAACAGTGCTTACTAACGAGGGTAATGTTATTTGCGACTGTATTCTCTTGCAGTTATTATGACCAGCTGGTAGCAATAGAAAACAAATTGCCCATCACAGAAAATCAGGTCAGTGCATTTTTTTTTTTTTTGGGTGATTAGTTTTATTGTTGGGCATTATTCAGTGATCATCACAATCATGTAGCAGGTCCGTTGCAGAACGTCGCTCTCATCACGGTCTGCCTGAAAGAAACTCGGTCTCTCGCCAGCTCTCCCGCCTCATGTACTTTCATACTCAAGGAGTCACTTATATCCTGTGATAGTACAGTAAATTAACACATTTAGGTGATTAGTTTTACTGTTGAGCATTATCCAATGATAGTGCAGTAAATAAACACATTTGCCTGGAGATTCTACTTCTTTCTTGTTTCGCTTGGCTACGTTAATTTGATTTGACTTAGACAGAATTACCTAGTTGGCTTATGTTAAAGTACATGAGAGAGAGAGTGTGTTTTTTCTGTTGTTATTGGTTGTTTCTGTTTACTTTATTTGTTTCCGGAATGTTTTGTCTAACCAGGACTGCCGTTAACGGTTTGACACTCATTTACTCAGATAGCCACTTCTTGGATGCCAGTCTTCTTCTTCTTAAAGTCTAAGCCGTGTGACGTTGGTAGTCATGTCTATCCACAACCTTCTGTCCTGTATACTTTCAGGTGTCAGCTCTGACACAAATGGTCCTTCCTGCGATAATGTCAAACTGTCCATCATCTTTTCTCTCAGTCTCCCTCTGCCTCTCCTCCCTTTCAGCTTTCCTACTGTCACTATGTATTTCAAGTTGTCTTGTTCTCATTAAATGACAAAGAATGTACCTTGTCTTTTTCTGATGTGTTCAGTCAGTTCTCTTCATGAGTCAGTTTCAATACATCCTGATTACTCTGTCTATCTGTCCAGGGTATTCTCATCATCCAACTATAAAACCTCATCTCCACAGGTTTCAAATAATCTTTCACTAATCTACCAACAGACCATGATTAACTTCCAAATATCAAGATAGGATTTGGATGCCAGTCTAGCAGGAACAAATAGTTGATACCCCTTTTAACTGTTTATTATTTCAGTATACTTTCAGAATTGGTTTCTCCTGGTATTTCAGTTGCATCTAGGGTTTCCTAATGGTTGACATTTCTGTGTTTAATCACAGTCAGTGACCATTTCCATTTGCGATTAACATAAGTGATGTTAATACACTTGAGATATAACCCCAGTAGTGCTGTGTCTTACACATCAGGGAGGAATAAGCCCACTGCCTCCCTAACAAGCATGTCATAAGAGTTGACTCGTTCAGGTTTTCTCTCAATGTCAGAATGTGTCTGCCTGAGAGGCAAGGAATCAGTAATCTACAAATGAGCCAGATCTGTAAAACAGATGTGCACACAAAACTCAAATTTTGAAAGAGAAATGAAGTCTAGAAGTGGATAACCAATCATAACTTTCCACCTGAGTTTGCAGTCGTGAATGTGAAGAAGAAGAATACACGTCAGATATTACATGAATGCTAATTTATTCTTCATCATTCCAAGCCCTTGAGGTTCATTGCTGCAGATATCACCCGCTCCCATTCATCTCTTTGGTTGTCACAACCCTATTAAGTACAGTCAGTGTACCACACCGTAAGGTGTGCACCCAGGGTTGACACAGAGGTCAGGGCCGTCACTGGTCAAGTCCGTTCTGTGATCGCACGGCGAAACCAGCGCTCAGGATAAAGCAAGAAAGCCTGAACTGTGTTTTAGTAACACGATGACTGCTTCTGGGACTGAGCTGGTGAACGGGGTTAAGAGACACGAGGTAGAAGGAAGAAGGGACATTCGGTGTGCGTCGGTCAGGAAGANGAAAAAAAACTCTTCTCCCCCCAGCTCTCCCGCCTCATTACTTTCATATCAAGAGTCATTATACCCTGTGAAGTACGTAAATTTAAACACTTTAGGGTTTAGTTTTACTTTTGACTTTCCAATGATGGGCAGTAAACACATTTGCCTGGAGACTATTTCTTTTTTGGTTTCACTTGGCTACTTTAATTTGTTTTGACTTGCAGAATTACCTATTTGGCTTTGTTAAGTACATGAAGGAGGTTGTTTTTTGTTGTTTTTGGGTTTTTTTTGTTTTTTTATTTTTTTCCGGGAAGTTTTGTCTCCAGACTGCCTTAACTTTGACACTCATTTACCGATCCCCACTTTTTGGGATGCCAGTCTTCTTCTTCTTAAAGTCAAAGCCGTGTGACTTGGATCAGTCTACCCCACAACCTTCTGTCCTGATATTTTCAGGGCAGTCGACACAAATGGTTTTCCCGCGAAAATGTAAAATGTCCTCACTTTCTCTCAGTCCCCTCTGCCCCCCCCTTTCACTTTCTACTGTCCTATGTTTTTCAATTGTCTTGTTCTCATTAAATGACAAAAAAATGTACCTTGTTTTTTTCTGATTTTCGCTTTTCTCTTCGATATTTTCAATACATCCTGATTACTCTGTCTATCGTCCGGGGTTTTCCCCATACCAAACTAAAAAAACCTCATCTCCAATTTCAAATAATCTTTCACTAATTACCAACAGACCATTTTAAACTTCCAAATATCAAGATGGGTTTTTTGGATCCCTCTAGCAGGAACAAATAGTTGATCCCCCTTTTAACTGTTTATTTTTTCAACTTCAAAAGGGGTTTCCCGGTTTTTTCCTTGCATCTAGGGCCCAAATGGTTGACATTTCGGGTTTTTAAACAGTCGGGCCTTTCCTTTTGCGTTTAAATAAGTGAGTTAATACATTTTGGGAATACCCCCATTGCGGGTCTACACACAGGGGGGAATACCCACTGCCTCCCTAAAAAGCTGTCATAAGAGTTACCTCGTTCGGGTTTTCTCTCAAGGTCCGAATGTTATCTGCCTGAGAGGCAAGGAATCAGTAATCTACAAATTCGCCAGATCTGTACAACGATGTGGCACACAAAACTAAAATTTTGAAGAGAAATGCCGTCTCGAAGTGGAATAACCAATCATAACTTTCCACTGATTTTGCATGTCTGAATGTTAAGAAGAAGAATAAAACGTCACATATTACATGAATGCTAATTTATTCTTCAGTCATTCCAGGCCCTTGAGGTTCATTGCTGCAGATATCACCCGCTCCCATTCATCTCTTTGGTTGGTCTTTTTCTAGTTGGTGACACTAAGTATTTGCAGGTCTGTCTGGACGTTATCTCTCCATCGTTTTCTTGGTCTGCCTTGTGGTCTTTGACCGTTTGACTCCCTTGTGTATAGTTTTTACCTCTCTGTCATTTGACAGTATCTCAATATGCCCCAACCATTTAAGTCTGTTAGCTTTCCTGATGCCAGTGATCAATGGTTATTTAAACAGATTATGAATTGTGTTGTTGCTTCTCACTCTCCATTCCCCGCTGTTTGCAACTTTGACAGGTCCAAGGATTCGTTGTAAGACTCTATTTTCGAAAACCTGTAATATGGCTTCATCACGTTTAGTTGTGCTTCAAGTTTCAGAGCCATTTAAAACGACTGGTCTTATCAATGTCTTACATATTTTGATCTTGGTGTTGCGAGACAGAAATTGGATGCTAATTATCCTCATTAATTTCTTGTTGCAATTACATCCACACAGTCGTTGCATTTCACTAGTTCCAATCTATACCTTATTTTTTCTTCTTTCTTTTTTTTTTTTCCCGATGCACATGTTTGTGACCAGAGTGTTCGAACAGCACATTACGCTCAGAGGAAAGGCAAGATGGACATGCAACTAGACTACAAACTGCACCATTAGTATTGGGATTCTGCTCTGGCTGCTGAGGATGGGGACCAAGCACCTATGCGAATACCCTGGGTGCTGTGATGTCAATTCTTGATTCAGCTCAACTAAGCTCAACTTTTCTTTCTTTGTTCACCATCTGTAAGCTCTGGTGGGTAAAGTCCTGGCTGCTTTGTGCTAGGGTCTGAGTTCTGAGTGTACATCCCCTTTACTGGCTTATTTATGTGCAGCTGGTTGTTCCTTGCCACTCGGGCAGATGCATTCTGACTTCAAAAAAAGTCAACTCCTATGACATGCTTGGTGGGGAGGTAGTGGGTCTATTCTTGTTTTCCCCCACAATGGGGCCCCGTAACCCACACACAGATTATGTTCCTTCACGTATATATATTTGTTCATTTGTTTACGAAAAAATGACAACTTGTTTATGCTATTCAGCTTGCTTCTTGGGAGCCATGGTTATAATTTAAAAGTTTTTTCTTTAGTTTTGTTTTTGTTTTTGGTTCAAGTTTTTGTGGCAGATAATGCCTGGTAATTCTTTATGTGCTACCCATGTGTCCATACAATGTTGTCTCATTGCGTGCTGTATTGGTGTTTAATTAAGAGTCAACAACACAGCATTCAGGTACATTCCCATAAGTGCTCTGTCCCCATCTTCAGCAGTAAGCACAGTTTCAATTCCGATGGTACCAGTTATAGCCTGATTGTATATCCGTCTCACCTTTCCCTTAAGTGTTGATCCTCAGCCAGACCCCCAGGTCAGTCCTCACAGCACCATTCTCCTCAGCCAGACCCCCAGGTCAGTCCTCACAACACCATTCAGATCCAGGTCAGTCCTCCAAGACCACCTCAGCCAGGCCAGTCCAGTCCTCACAGCACCATTCTCCTCAGCCAGATCCCCAGGCCAGTCGTCACAGCACCATTCTCCTCAGCCAGATCCCCAGGCCAGTCGTCACAGCACCATTCTCCTCAGCCAGATCCCCAGGCCAGTCGTCACAGCACCATTCTCCTCAGCCAGATCCCCAGGCCAGTCTCACAGCACCATTCTCCTCTCAGATCCCCCAGGCCCCCTCAAAGCACCATTCTCCAGCCAGATCCCCAGGCCAGTCGTCACAGCACCATTCTCCTCAGCCAGACCCCCAGGCCAGTCGTCACAGCACCATTCTCCTCAGCCAGATCCCCAGGCCAGTCCTCACAGCACCATTCTCCTCAGCCAGATCCCCCAGGCCAGTCCTCACAGCACCATTCTCCTCAGACCATGATAATACATCTGTGCCTCCGTACTGTTCATTCGCCCTCAAAGGGCTCTTACAAAATTTAGCTTTTCATGCATCAGATTACTACCAAGTTGTGCAGAACCAGCCAGTCTACTGCCTATTTATATCCTGATACACCGGCATACCTGGAAAAAATATCCGAAGACACCAACTACCAGAGACCTCTGAAGCGGTGCTTGCCACTCTGCACGAAGCATACCAGTCTCCACCTTTCTCAACATGCTCTGTGAGTTACATTTATGACATGTGTGAACAGCTGATTCTCAAGCCACCGGAAAGCTGCAGTGACTTCCTCCACCTCCATTCTCAAACTAGGTGTTGTGGTGTCATATGCCAGGTTTTGTTGCACACAAAAGTTCTTGTCTGATCTCTTGTTGTATATTTTATATCATTAGATTCGTGTTCAGTTCAAGTGGCAGGATGCCTTTGATGAAGGCTCATTCTTGTCAGGAAGAAGGACTTTGGGTAAGTTTAATCATTTGATGAAAATAATCTTTTGTTTTACTGTGTTTAAAATTTGTTAGAGGGTGACTTAAAAAAGATGAGGAGAACATGGGAGGAGCTGCATGCAATAGCAGAAAATAGGACAACTGGGTGTCAGTTGGTTGAGGGCCTGTTCTCCTTTGGGGAATAAAGGGCTCAGAAGAAGCCCCATCCCACCCCCACTCCCCTTTCAACTTTTAAATCTGTCTATGCCTCTGAGTTAACTCTTTTGCTGTCTGAATGCTGTAAATGTGTCATTAACCCATAGGAATTTCCAGAAAAATTAAAAATGTAAACCATATTATACAGGTCAATGATAAATTATTTAAAAACAGATCTGTCTGCATTGTGTATTTGTTTTTGTTTTCCAAATATATAAAGATGTCTTTAAAAAAAAAAGTACTCAGTAAATACGAACTGTGTGAATATTAAATAGAATACCTTCCTCTAGGCCTTAAAAAAATAAGTTTCAGACCACTTGTGGCGTAACCTCTATCACTGAGGGTTATGGGGAAAATGTGACATCAACTTTGTTTTTCAGCCCAGTCAGAAGTGTCCATTTTTCAGCTACTTGGGCACAAGGGGTAAATGTAGCCACGATATTTCACTTGTCTCTCATTTTTATGTTTTCAGCAGCTCTCTTTTTATTCCCAACCTCTACAGAATCTCTGCATTTGATTGGTTATTTTTTGTCCTTGAAAAACAACCTCAGAGACCAGTTCACTTTTCTAGCTCCTTGTCCATTGTCCATATTTCTACATGGTACATTTTTGTTTGACGTACATTAAATCATTTTTTTGGCTGTTGTGTGTTTTTTAAGGCACATGCCATTGCTGCTGAACGGTCAGCTCTCAGTACCACTTTCGAAACCAGCGCAAGACAAACCATCCGCAGCTGGGATCGAACCCCGGCATTACGAGGTTCGTTCGCAACGCATAAGCCACAGATGCTGACTTGCCGAAAATAAATGAAGAATATCATGTTGAAACTGACCTTTCTGTATGTTAAAAATAATAATCATTGTTGCCACAACCAGCCATCGCCTCGGCAGCGTATGAGAAGGTGTGTGTGCTGTTCAACATTGCTGCCCTCCAGTCTCAGATTGCTGCTGTTCAGAACCACGAGAACAATGAAGGCCTGAAGCTAACGGTGAAGCTATTTCAAGTAAGTGATGAATGAACGAATGCCATTTGTTGCTGATCTTTCCTTGAAGATAAAGTGCATCTGCATGAGATTTTAGTAGTCAGTAGTTCTGCACACAGTAAGTCACATCTGGAAAATGGATGTGCACACAGTAAGTCACATCTGGAAGATGGATGTGCACACAGTAAGTCACATCTGGAAGATGGATGTGCACACAGTAAGTCACATCTGGAAAATGGATGTGCACATAATAAGCCATATTTGGATGACAGATGTGCACACAGTACGCCATATCTGGAAAAATAAAGCTGCACACAGTAAGCCAGATCTGGAAAACGGATGTGCACACAATATGCCATATCTGGAAAAATAAATTTGCACACAGTAAGAGAGATCTGGAAAATGGATGTGCACACAGTATGCCATATCTGGAAAATAGATGTGCACTCAGTAAGCGAAATCTGAAAAAAACAGATGTGCACACAATATGCCACATCTGGAAAACCGAACATTGTTGTGAACATACATCATTATGCCAGCCATCTGTACTTCCCAGGATATTTTGTTATACCTATTGTAGGCTAGGAGCCATGGTAAATTATAAAATTCAACAAAAAAGTGAGGACATTAGTAGATCAACATTCTTCTTCTTCTTCACGTTCTGGCTGTGAACTCCGGAGGAAAGTTCTGGTTTTTCATTCACATGTAGAGTTAAGTCTCGTTCCAGAATTTGAGTCTCGAGCACAAATGCTTTTCTGGATCATGCTTATCTGTATGCAGACTGTTGGTTCCTTGCCTCTCTCAGGCAGATGCACTCCAACTTTAAAGGAAGCCCCCAATCAGTCGACTCTTACAGCATGCTTGTTGGGGAGGCAGTGTTTGTGTTCTTTTTTTTCCTACAATAGGACAGTGGAACCCACACATGGAGATCGGCATTCACACCAGAAAATCATCATTATCTGCACAGATGGGTCCTTGAAGCATTAACTCCCTAATCTAGATCTGTACACCTGAGCATGCTGGAGCATTTCATAGTCTTCTTTCTTCTTCGTTCGCTTCGCTAGCTATAAACTCCAGTGGAAAGTTCTGGTTGTTCGTCCATCTCTGGACTCTAGTCCTATTCCAGAACCTGACTTATTTGCACTGTTGGTTCCTTATCTCTCAGGCAGATGCACTCTGAATTCGAAGGAAGCTCCCCAGTTAGTTGACTTTTAAGACATGCTTGTGTGGAGGTGGTGGGTCTTTTTCCCATACTGGGGCCCCATAACCCACACGCGGATTAAGGATAATGAATAGGTGGGCCGACTGGCAAAGAATGCAGCACTCAAGAAGAAGCATAGACAGGACTGGTGTCGTTGACACTGTACAGACTAGACTGCTAATAATGTTGAGTCTCTGGCGCTGACACCATTACATGACCTGGAAGTAAAGCATGCCTATGCTATCTTTGAGGTTGAGATTAAGGACGTCATCCACTTCTCACTGGATCAATCAGCAGAGGTACCTTGGAGCGGCTGCTGGACTAGATGGCTAGAAGTAAGGGAATGTCCAGTTTACAGTGACATTGGTTGTGATGACATAAGATGTATACAATCTGAATACCTTTGGATTCACAGGCCGTAGTCTAGCCGCTGCACTACTGCTGCTCCCTGTCGACTTTCATTCTGGTTATAATTATAGCTTCGTGGTTATACGCTAAAAAAATACCCCGTGTATGGGTTCTGAAGCTCCATTATGGGGGATAAAAGATTAGACCCACTACCCCAACAAGCATATCCTAAAAGTCGACTAATTAGGGGCGTTTCCTTTATAGTCAGAGTGCATGTGTATGAAAAGTGAGGGACTAACAGTTTGCCTACATCCCCGTGTGGGTTCCGGGGCCCTGTTATAGGGAAAACAAGAATAGACCCACTGCCTACCCAAAAGAATGTCGTAAGAGTCGACTAATTTTGAGCTTTCTTTAAAGTCAGAGTGCATCTGCCTGAGAGACAAGAAACCAGCAGTCTGCATACAAATGAGTCAGATCTGTAAAACAGATGCACACGCAACACTCAGGTTCTGGAACAGGACTGCAGTCCAGAAGTTGATGAACAACCAGAACTTTCCGCCAGAGTTTACAGCTGAATAAGAATAGTTTGCCTACAAATAAGCTAGATCTTTAGAATGGATGTGCACACAAAACTCAAGCTCTAGAACAGCCAGAACTTTCGACTGGAGTTTATCGCCAGGGAACATGAAGAAAAAAAAAGACACTGTAGAAAAGATATTGTCAGTTCAGAACGTGTGTGTGTTTTGGGTAATGAGCAGGCTGATAAATTACCTGCTGCCAGTCCTCTAGGCAATGAGCTGCTTTATAATGAAATGAACTTGATGAAAGCTCAAGTGAACTGTACAAAATAACAGTATCCATACCTGAATGACTTGCATGGGCAATGCAGAGATTAAATAACATGAAGAACCTATGGCAAAGCATTAGTAAATTGGTTAAAGTAACAATGCATTTTTCCTGTGGCAACCTACGGGTGTGAGTCTTGGACGCTCACTCAGTCACTGGGGGAAAAGATTGGAGCTTTTGAAATGAAATGCTATAGAAAAATTCTTAGAATACCATGGATCAGGAAGAGGAAAAACATCGACATTCTGATTATGTCCTTCAACATCTGCTAAAGTCAAAGTCTCCATCTCGCAGCACCTAGATCGAAATATATAAAACGTTGATAAGACCAGTCATTTTATATGGCTCTGGAACTTGGAGCACAACTAAAATAGATGAAGCATCATTACAACTTTTCAAAAATAACAAATGATTGGATCCATCAAAGATGCAAACAGCAGGGAATCGAGAATGAGAAGCAACAACAAAATTCGTAATCTGTTTAAATCACCACTGATCACTAGCATCATGATATCTAATAGACTGAAATGGCTTTGACATAATGAGAGAATGTCAAATGACAGAGAGGTTAAAACTATACACAAGGGAGCTGAATGGTCATAGACCATGAGGCAGACCAAGAAGACAATGAAGAGAAAATGTCCCAAAACACCTGCAAACACTTGTCATTAACTGGACAGAGAAGGCCAACCAGAGAGATGAGTGGAGGTGGGGGATATCTGCAGCAATGAACCTCAAGGGCTGGGAACACTGCAGAAAAAGATTACATGGAGAGATTATTTAGTTTGGGTTATAAGCCTGGGTTCTGGACGATTTTCATCGCACAAGGGAAAAGCAGGAAGACTTTTTTTTAAAAAAAATTTTTATTTTTTTTTAATTTAGACTACAGTTGGCAGTATCAGTGTGTGGGTTCTCTTTTTTTTAGCTTTAATTAAGGGGACAGAGAACTTATAAGATTGTTATGGAAAAATTCATTATACGCAGAGACAGAAAGGATTACCTGCGTTGTCTGGCCCTCTTACCTACTCTGTCAGTGACATTTACCTCCAAGACTCTTTACTGGGCTATCATGATGTCAGTTTTGTTTAAGCAACTTCCTTTGTGGGTTCAGGGGCATCATGGGGGGGGGGGGGGGGGCAATAGACCCTCTGACCACCAGAAGAAGCATGTCATAAATGTCCACTAATTAGGGCGTTGTCTATGAAGTCAGGGTGCATTTGAGATGTGAGGAAACAACAGTTTGTGTACAGATAAGCCAGATCTTCAAAACGGATGTACACACAAAACTAAAGTTCTAGGACAAGTGCAGAAGTGGATGAACAGCGAGAACTTTCTGCAGGAGTTTACAGCCGCTGAAGAAAAAGGAAATCCAGCATCAATATCCATGTCAGTAGTTTTCTGTGTTTATTTTTGAGGTTCTTCCATTGTTTAAAGATTTGGTTCCAGCTAATTATTTTCAGTCTGTGATAAAACTTATCTTGAATCCTTTTTGATACTGTTGTGTTTGATTATTCATTCAGTAACATCTTTCTCTCTCTCTCTCTCTACACCTATTTCTCTCTCTCTCTTTTGCTGTTTGTTACTTTCTCTATCTCTGTCTCTCCTCCACTTCTCTCTCCTGCTTTTTTAAATTTGTGATTTTATTTGCTCAATACCACCATCTGTTGCAGCAAGCATGTGGCATCTTTGGGACACCTGAAAGACATAGTGTTGTCCCACATCCAGCAGGATCCGACACCCGACCTGAACCCAGACACACTGAGTGCCCTGAGCGCTCTCATGTTAGCACAAGCCCAGGAGTCTATATACAGGAAGGCTACTCAAGGTAAGCCCAAACTGCCCAAGGTCTCTGTGTAATGAGCTGCCTTGGGGTTAGAGATATCTGCATTTCAAATTTACTGGGATCTCTGATTATTCCCATTCTTCTTCTTCTTCTTTGCATAAACTTCGGCGGAAAGTTCTGTTTGTTCTGGACTTTAGACTGGTTCCAGAACCTAAGTGTTGTGTGCACATCCATTTTACAAATCTGACTTATTTGTATGCAGACTGTTGGTTCCTTGCCTCTCAGGCAGATGCACTCTGACTTTATTATCCCAGTGAGTGACAGTTAACAGCAACATCACACTTTAGAGTCCATAAGGGGCTGGCAGAACACACTTGTTAATGAAAAAGTAAGTGAAGGACCCGTTTACATTTAGGGCTAGACTTGTATTTCATAGACCAGTTAGCACTTGGTGGGTGATTTGGACAGAATCATGCCAGGCTGTCTTTACTTCCCAGGACTGCATCTGCTACCCACTTAAGGCTGCGTCAACCTGGGTGCCAATGTCATTTTTTTTTTAAAACATCTGGCTCTGTCAGGACCTAAACCCATGACCTTCCGATGCGCAGGCTAGCTTTTAGCCATTAGACCACAGCCGTTCCCACACATGTCTGTGTGCATTGTTTTATTGGCTGTTCCAGGTAGGCGCCATCCTCGTGTCTATTCTCGCCAGTATGTCTGGTGTTGGCACCCCTCATCCCCATCGTTTAGGATCTAGTTTCTAAGGTGACCACAGAGGTGTGTAGATGTCTCTTGACAGTATGAGCTCTGGTCTTGTGTGACCAGGTGTGGGTTCAGAACCTCTACATCCCTACAGAAGTATGAGCTCTGGTCTTGGTGTGCCACCAGGTGTGGGTTCAGGACTTCTACATCCCTACAGAAGTATGAGCTCTGGTCTTGGTGTGCTACCAGGTGTGGGTTCAGAACCTCTACATCCCTACAGAAGTATGAGCTCTAGTCTTGGTTTGTGACCAGGTGTGGGTTCAGGACCCCTACAGAAGTATGAGCTCTAGTCTTGTTGTGCTACCAGGTGTGGGTTCAGGACTTCTACATCTCTTCAGAAGTATGAGCTCTGGTCTTGTTGTGTGACCAGGTGTGGGTTCAGAACTTCTACATCCCTACAGAAGTATGAGCTCTGGTCTTGTTGTGTGACCAGGTGTGGGTTCAGAACCTCTACATCCCTACAGAAGTATGAGCTCTAGTCTTGTTGTGTGACCAGGTGTGGGTTCAGGATTTCTACATCTCTACAGACGTATGAGCTCTAGTCTTGTTGTGTGACCAGGTGTGGGTTCAGAACCTCTACATCCCTACAGAAGTATGAGCTCTGGTCTTGGTGTGCAACCAGGTGTGGGTTCAGAACCTCTACATCCCTACAGAAGTATGAGCTCTGGTCTTGCTGTGTGACCAGGTGTGGGTTCAGGACCTCTACATCCCTACAGAAGTATGAGCTCTAGTCTTGTAGTGTGACCAGGTGTGGGTTCAGAACCTCTACATTCCTACAGAAGTATGAGTAGTCTTGGTGTGCTACCAGGTGTGGGTTCAGAACCTCTACATCCCAACAGAAGTATGAGCTCTGGTCTTGGTGTGTGACCAGGTGTGGGTTCAGAACCTCTACATCCCTACAGAAGTATGAGCTCTAGTCTTGGTGTGTGACCAGGTGTGGGTTCAGAACTTCTACATCCCTACAGAAGTATGAGCTCTAGTCTTGGTGTGCGACCAGGTGTGGGTTCAGAATCCCTACATCCCTACAGAAGTATGAGCTCTGGTCTTGGTGTGTGACCAGGTGTGGGTTCAGAACTTCTACATCCCTACAGAAGTATGAGCTCTGGTCTTGGTGTGCTACCAGGTGTGGGTTCAGAACTTCTACATCCCTACAGAAGTATGAGCTCTAGTCTTGGTGTGCAACTAGTTGTGGGTTCAGAATCCCTACATACCTACAGAAGTATGAGCTCTAGTCTTGGTGTGCAACCAGTTGTGGGTTCAGAACTTCTACATCCCTACAGAAAGAACTTCTACATCCCTACAGAAGTATGAGCTCTGGTCTTGGTGTGCAACTAGTTGTGGGTTCAGAACTTCTACATCCCTACAGAAGTATGAGCTCTAGTCTTGGTGTGCAACTAGTTGTGGGTTCAGAACTTCTACATCCCTACAGAAGTATGAGCTCTAGTCTTGGTGTGCAACTAGTTGTGGGTTCAGAATCCCTACATACCTACAGAGAAGTAGTGATCTCTAGTCCCGTATGCCCGTATGGCTGGCTCACAGGTGTGGGCTTCAGAACAGTACTACATCCCAACAGAAGTACTGAGCTCTGGTCTTGGTGCAAACACTGCTGGGTTCAGAACTTCTAGCGTTCAGCTACAGAGTGGAAATGCATGATACCGTCTCATTGTCTTGGTGAGCAAGCTGATACTGGTGGGAAGGTGCGACAAAAGAGCAGCCAGATGTACAGTCACCTACCAAAAGAAAAGAATCATTAAAGATCTAGCCCTTGGTGTGCAACTATTTTATTGTGGACAGACCAGAACAAGTCTCTTCCGCCTCAGACAAGAACTTTACGTATCCCTACAGAAGTTCAAGCTCTAGTCTTGGTGTGCAACTGTTGTGGGTTCAGAACTTCTACATACCCTACAGAATTTTGAGCATTCTGGTCTTGGTGTGAAAGACCAGGTGTGGGTTCTATGGACTTCTACATCCCTACAGAAGTATAAGCTCTAGTTTTGTTGTGAGACCAGGTGCTGATATAGAGAACTTATTACAGGCCCTAAAGAAGTATGAGCTCTAGTCTTGTTGTGTGACCAGGTGTGGCATGTTCAGGATCTTCTACCTGGACTACAGAATGTAAATGAAAGCTCTGTCTTGGTGTGAGACCACTGTGTGGGTTCAGGATCCCTACATACCTACAGAAGTATGAGCTTTGGTCTTGGTGTGCTAACGAACCAGTTGTGGTTTCAGGATCCCTAGGCGCCCCGGGGGAAGTGAGCGAGTCTAGTATCTGCGGCTTCTTCCCGAAAATGCCCGCTGAAATTATTAAAGGCATGAAAAGGGAAAATTTAAGTTTACTTACCTGGACTACACTCGAATAGTTTATTTATGTTTGAGGAAAGCTGCTGAACGCAGGTATCCCGACCCGGTTATAGTGAGGACGTCACTGTGACAGTCGTGCTCCAACAAACTTTACCTGAACCAGCCATTGTGAGCAAAGGTAAGAATCCCAATCTGCACAGGTCATGGAGACTGCACTAGTCATGCGGGCTTAAATCCTGAGCCCCTAAACACCCAGTCCTGCAGCATCCTAGAACTGGTAAGTAAAGGCAGTACCTATGTCTTTTTTGGTTTCTGGTGTTACGCAGTGATGCCCACAGTACCGGCAACTTTTTTTTTCACCGCTGCTGAATAGACAGTTTATGGTGACTACTGGCACCTTTTTAAGACACCTTATAGTGAGTACCAATATCTTTTGTTTTCTTTATTTAAAAAAAACAGCTTTGAGGATTGTAAAAGACGACAGACAGATCATTGTTACCCTATTGAATGATTCTTTGTATGTTTCTGTCGTGTTTTCTTAGATAAAATGAAGGAAGCAATGATAGCCAAACTGGCATACCAGACATCGGAACTGTACTCAGATGCCATGAAGTTGATGCAGCTAGGATCCATCCGGGAACTGTGGCCACGGGTACAACTTCAGTGTTTGTTGTTGCTAGTTGGCATGTTTTTTAGCATGTCATCCTAACTATGGTTTTCTAATCTGCAGGTTTCAATACAGGCTGCTTAAAAAAAAATTAAAAAATCGGGGGGGGGGGGGGTGTATTTAAACCCCTTTGGGTTCTGCTAGACATGTGGAAATTGTGTGGTTATGTGGAGGCATCACCCATCTGACTGGAGGTTTTGGGCATGGGCAGGTAGATGTTGAGCTATCTTTATCAATGGAAGACTAGAATCAGTAATGTGAGGTGGAATCAGAATCAAGAGAAGACTGGCTTGGGTGGGACTCATGTTAAACACCGGTGCAAGTCAAACTTTACAGCTCGCTGAGTGAATGGCAAAAGACGGGGAAGTTTATACTAGAGATAACATTGCAGATATAGATAATTTGTTTTCAAGTTGACAGAAGAAGAAGAAGGACTCATGTTGAGAAAATCTGAGAGCAGTATAACTAGATTGACTTTACACCGGAACCCACAGAGGCTTAAAAAAAAAATAGACTAAAACACATGGACAAGGCAGCTAGAGAGTAGTTAAAGAGAGAAGAACATGATATGGACTTGATTGGGGGCCTGTGCTCCTGAGTGGTCTCGAGGCATGGCGTCCACCTGGAGTGCTGAAGGTCCTGGGTTCAGGCCTTGGTGAAGGCTGAGATTTTTTCAGGTGGACTTGTAGTAAATTCCCCTGCCCTCTGGGTAGTATTTTAGATGCCCGTGTGTATTATTGCGCAAAGTAAAAAAAAAAAATTCCTTGGCAGTTGGAAATTGGGAAGAATAGCCCAATGGCGCTGCCCAGGCAAAATTTTAATTTAACAAATTACTGAAAGTAGTTCTGGATCCTCACCGATGCTTAAAAAAAAAAACACTGCCCTGAGAACAGAGCACTTATGAGTTATTACCCATGTGCCATGATGTTGATGTGCCATGATGTTGATCGTTGATCAAACCATCTTCTGGTCACAGTTTGTGTTGTATTTAATACTCCATAATATCAGAGATGCAACAGTATGATTCCCATGTATGTCATCAGTTACTGTACAGCTGACTGCTAGAATGTGAACATATTTTCAGGACTGGTTGCTGATTGTGGTGATGAAGCAGGCAGCCTTCCATGGAATGTCTGAGTACTACCAAAGCTGTGTGGCCCAACAGTCTAAGAGTTATGGAGAGGAGATCGCCAGATTACAGGTTTGTCTGGCTGTCCTTTTGCAAACGATAAATGTGGTCTCCCCATAGGTTCCGGGAGCTTATTTTGGGTGGATAAAATGGACCCACTGATTCCACCACCCCCCACCCCCAGTGCCCTTTTCCAACTAGCCTGTCTTAAAAGAGCGACATAAATGGTGGTTAAACATCTCACACAGCACAGGATGCACCTATAGAAGCCAGCAGGAGGCAGCGTGCAGAACTGGGATTTCAGTTACTTATAAGTTAAAAGTCGGAAGGATCGACTTCATTGCATCGGGTTTTACCACATATGCCTCAGTCTCTCTCTGCAAAACGGCTAGCCGTCTTCCGAGTGCGTAGCACAGGGCGTGAACTAAACACAGCATGAGGCAAAGGGCTAAACCTCTCCGTCATGTAGACCCCCCCATCACCATACAAAATGAGTCATTCTGACCCAAAAGTTTGTTATTTAAAATTAAAAACTTTCCAGTTTAAAACGGGTTCATTAATATCTGACTGGTGCTGACATAGCTAATTCACGAGTGTAGATGTTTCAGAGATCCCTGGGGGTCTTTGCTACAGTTATGTGATTAGTGTAGCACTTACAGCAAACAACCAGCCACTCTGGGAACAAACGGACGGACAAACTTTATTTTCAAAGGTTTAACTCTACCAGACCGCTGGCCGGCTATTACGGAAATTTCCTAATCTGCAGCTAAACCGCTGTCCCTCAATGTCGGGAATTTGCGTACTCTGAGAAAACAATGAGTCACAAACTAAAAATAACTAGCCAGTCGTCTCAGACCTTGTCATTGTGAATTTCTGCCCACGTGTGTCTGGATTTTCTTTGTGTTGTTTCACGTGAAAAAAATCTGAAAATTCACAATAAAACGAGTGGTTGATGAACCAGGCACTTCGACAGGAAAGTGAAATAGGTCTAGGCTTTTCACCGTCCAACAGGTGATCGATACTTTGGTTGATTTAGACACTTGAGGAGTCAGAATTTCGCGAAGAATAGATTCCTAGTTGAAGTGAGACAGTCAGTGAATTTCTGTTCAAGAACCTGTCAAGAACCATGTTTTTCTGAGTCAAAACTGATTTGTGGTCCCCTGGCCGAGCCACACTTAGGTCACGCTAAAGAGCGGCAAGTGGCTTGCGAGCCACAATCTGCCGACCACAATCTTGTGGGAACTTAATCAAAACTGCACTCATGAACTGAACGGTGCATTCATGAAATGAACCCATGATCTTCCAACACATCCAGTTTCAGTAAATCTTAATCGCTTTTTAGGACATGCTTGTTAACGCTGCCTGAGTTTAGTGCTTGGTGCAGACCTGTGAGCTGTTTTTTTGCATATATAATGCCCTTCTTTTTTTGGCAGTGGTTATGTCGGGGTATTCAATATGGCCAGTAGCGGGTTTATGTATGAGCTGGTGAAATACCTTTTTTAATAAATCTCTCTATGTATAGCCAACTTATAATGCCTAACTATTTTCGTCAATGACAAACTGCATTTCAGGTAGCAACTGTTGGCTTTGGCACCTCTAGCAGCTGCCATTTACTGTGTGTGCATATTTCTGGATTGTGCCAGGACAAACTGTTCACCAGGTTTTCTGATGGGACAGTGAGGGGACATTTGATTTGATTTTTCACTGGCACAGGAACGGAGCACGTATGGGGTGACCCGATTGCTGTGAAGTTGAAACCTCAAGACTAAGACTAAGACTGCTCAGTTTTCTCCCAAAATGGGGTCATAAAGCCCATACAGGAATTATGTCCTCCAAGTCCTTAATAGGACTTGTATCTAATCAGAACAAGTCCATTGTTGGTTGTTCTCCCAGTGATGTAACAGAAGGACTTGTATCTAATCAGAGCAAGTTCTTTGTTGGTGGTTCTCCCAGTGATGTACCAGAAGGACTTGTATCTAATCAGAGCAAGTTCATTGTTGGTGGTTCTCCGAGTGATGTACCAGAAGGACTTGTATCTAATCAGAACAAGTTCATTGTTGGTGGTTCTCCCAGTGATGTAACAGAAGGACTTGTATCTAATCAGAGCAAGTTCATTGTTGGTGGTTCTCCCAGTGATGTACCAGAAGGACTTGTATCTAATCATAACAAGTTTATTGTTGGTGGTTCTCCCAGTGATGTAACAGAAGGACTTGTATCTAATCAGGACAAGTTCAGTGTTGGTGGTTCTCCCAGTGATGTAACAGAAGGACTTGTATCTAATCAGAACAAGTTCATTGTTGGTTGTTCTCCCAGTGATGTAACAGAAGGACTTGTATCTAATCAGAGCAAGTTCATTGTTGGTGGTTCTCCCAGTGATGTACCAGAAGGACTTGTATCTAATCAGAACAAGTTCATTGTTGGTGGTTCTCCCAGTGATGTACCAGAAGGACTTGTATCTAATCAGAACAAGTTCATTGTTGGTAGTTCTCCCAGTGATGTACCAGAAGGACTTGTATCTAATCAGAGGAAGTTTATTGTTGGTGGTTCTCCCAGTGATGTACCAGAAGGACTTGTATCTAATCATAACAAGTTCATTGTTGGTGGTTCTCCCAGTGATGTACCAGAAGGACTTGTATCTAATCAGAACAAGTTCATTGTTGGTGGTTCTCCCAGTGATGTAACAGAAGGACTTGTATCTATTCAGAACAAGTTCATTGTTGGTTGGTTTTCCCAGTGATGTACCAGAAGGACTTGTAAGGACAAGTTTGGTTCCCAGTGATCAGCTTGTAATTAAGACAGTTCATTGTTGGTGGTTCTCCCAGTGATGTAGGAAAATGAACCTTGATAATGACTCAAACTTTTAACTTACCAGACCTACCATTAAATGTGTTAGCCACTTGATGCTAAAAGGGCTGTAATAATAATCAAACTTTTAACTTACCAGACCTACCATTAAATGTGTTAGCCACTTGCTGCTAAAAGGGCTGTAATAATATTTTTTTTATAAAAAAATTTTTGTGTTGGCATCTGTTCACTTGTCCTCCTCAGCATGCTAAAGAGCTGCTCAATGCCTCAAAGACTCGTGGTGGATCAACTTTCATCTTTCAGCAAGAGCAGGGTCGTGTAGACAGAGCCCTGGAGACGGCCCTCAAAGACAACAACTTCATTTACCATGACAAAATCCCTGATCTAAAAACACTGCAGCCCATTGGAAAAGCTGTTGTTGCTAAGGCTGCACCAGTATCGCAGCCAATGAGTGCAAAGTTCACAGGTATAATTCCCTCCTGTTCCTGTTTACTGATCTTGACTTTCTTCCTCTTTACATTCACTGGTTGTAAACTCTGGAAAAAATTCTGGTTGTCCGTCCATCTCTGGACTTTAGACTTATTCCAGAACCTGAGTGTTGCATGCACATCTGTTTTACACATCTAGCTTATTTGAATGCAGGTTGTTGGTTCCTTGCCTCTCGGGCAGCAGCACTCCGACTTTGAAGGAAGCTTCCAGTATGTCACCTCTTGCAATATGCTTGTTGGAAAGGCAGAGTTTCTACTCGTTTCGCCTACAATGGCGCCCAGGAACCCACAGGGAAAACTGAACTTGTCAGTCTTATCACATTTTCTAAAAGTGTTGCGACCTGCCACCTGCGATGATAATATACGTCATTAATCCTAATTGCCACTGTGATCATCATTTGTTTTCTTTTAAAAGTGATAATCACAATCAGTCTTTATATTCAAGGGAGCCACCGTGGTGTTGTGGCTAGATGATTGCTGTGGATCGGAAGGTCTTGGGTTCGGGTCCTGATGGTACCAGACTTTTTCTTTTTTGTTAAATTACATTGTTGCCCAGCCTTGAATATGTACCAGGTTGAGTCCTGAGAAGTAAAGGCAACCAGTGTGATCATGCCTATATCTCCCACCAAGTTCCAGTTGGTCTATGAAATAAAGTTCTAAGCCTTATGTGCCCGATAATCCTTAAGGCATATAAAAGGTCCTTTACTTTATATTCGAGGGCTTCAGAAGAAAAAAACTAAAGTTGCTCTTCATTTTTTTCTTTTTCTGCAGTAGTTGAGGAAGTAAATCCTTTAATGTTAATTCTTTCATGTTTCTTATAAATGAACTGTATCTTCTGTTTTGATTTCATTTATACGAGAAGGATCTCTTTCATATGCCTTTTAATGTAACATCTTTCCTGTCAGACTTGTTTCATTTGAACTAAGTCTTCTCTGAGGTTTTTTCTGTTTGAATTATATGTTTTTTTTTCAGATTTTATTGATTAGAAATTAAATTATATTTTTCTGATTTAAAAAAAAAAAAGAAATAGGAACTAAATCTTCTCTAAAGATTTAATATACACTAGATTATCTTTTTCAGATTTCATTTTTATGAACAAGATCTTTTTCAAATGAATTTTAGTGTAATGTAAATTTGTTAATTCGTTATATCCTGCCTTACATATTTTTGTTCATTTGAACCAGATATTCTCTCTCAGATTTTGTTTTTGTGAACTAGATCTGTTTTGAGATTGGCATTAGATAAATGGATCTCCTCTTTCAGACTGTTCTTTAGCCGTGATTTGCTTCACGAATCTCCTCCAGGTTTGTTTTATATTAAACTTTTTTTTTTCAATGATATACAAAAGTTTTCCACGTGGCGGCGCGCCCTAACCTAAGTACAAATATGACTATTCATATGCAAGAGGCAAAAAAAAAAAAAAACCTCGTATATTTTTAAATATTTCATGGTGCCCCTGTGAAGGGTTTGCAGCTCCCTGGGGCGCTGGGACACACAGTTTAGGAATCACTGCACTGAGGTCTTAATATAAATTAGATCTTCTCTTCCTTCAGATTTTGTTTCTATGAACTGGATCTGGAGATTTGCTTTGCATAAATTAATCTCCTCTTTCAGGTTTGTTTTACATTAAATTGCGTCTCTTTCTGGAGATTTGTATTGTACGTTCAGGTTGTCTTTTACAGATTTGTTTGACAAGATTGTTCCCCTGCCAGTCCACGAAGCACTCACAGCTTTTGAGAACCGCAAAGCACAGATTGCCAATGCGGAGATTGGGCGGCTTCGTAGTGCCACAGATCTGTTAAACAGGTTAGTCTTTTTCTTCTTCCTCTTCGCTTTCCCCAGCTGTAAACTCTAGTGGAAAATAAGTTCTGGTTGTTTGTCCATTTCTGGACTTTGATCTTGTTACAGAGCTTTGAGTTTTGCGTGCACATCCATTTACGGATCTGATTTATTTGTATGCAGGCTGTTGGTTCCTTGTCTCAAACAGATGCACTACAACCTTAAAGGGTATGTCTCTGATTAGTCATATTCTACAACATTCTTGAGGGGAGGGCAGTAGGCCTGTTACTCAATAACCCCCCCCCCCCCCCCAATTTGAGGCCTGAGAATCCACACAGAGAAAACATGTAAGTGGAAAAAATCAGTATATTGCCATTTCCTCAGCTTGAAGATTAAGGGAGCTCATGGTGAATGGGTCGAGCTATTTGTCTCACTCTCTGAAGGTCGTGGGTTTGTTTCACGGATGTGTCTTTTAGTTCAGAAGTATAGTATTTAACAGAGACTCCAGGGGATTGTCGCTGGAGATGTTCGCAGTGTGATTGTTTGAACTGATCGATCAGGCGACTAGTTCGTCCCTTCTGGGCCACTGCTTAAAACATCTCAGTCTGAATGGCAGACCAACAAGGTGGATTCCGGATACCCAATTCAGCCTCCAAAGAAAGATGGAGATAGGCATGCTAAGTGCAGAGTGGCAAGCATCACTTCAGAGGTCCCAGGTAGGTAGCGTGATTTGGATATTTCTTCGGGTCGTGCTGGTGTGTTGGGAAATGAGCAGGCAGATAGACTGGACGGTTCTGCACCACGTGGTGGGGAATTGATGTATGACAAGCTGGATGTTGTGAGGGCCCTCTGGGAGTGAGTGAACAGGGCGGCGGCACAAATAAATAATTACAGTAATAAATTCTAGAATCATATTTTAGGGGGTGGAGTAGTGTTTGACTTTCTTTTTCTTGTACGGTGACTATAAACTTCAGCGGGAAGTTCGGGTTTTTCGTCCACTTCTAGACTTTTGTTTGAGGACCTGAGCTTTGTGTGCACATGCATTTTACACATCTGGTTTATTTGTATGCAGACTATTGGTTCCTTGCCTCTCATGCAGATGAACTCCGACTTTGAAGGAAACCCCTAATTGGTTGATTCTAATGGGTCTATTCTTGTTTTCCGAGACCCCACACTGGGAGGGTTAAAATGACATGCTGGGGTGTCCTGTTTTCAGCTCAAGATATTGTGGTCACCCTGTGTATACATGTTCTGTAGCAGCAGTTCTCAGACTGTGGATCCAACGACCCTTTCACAGGGGTCGCCAGAGACCATCAGAAAACACATATTCATGGAAGTTATGAAGAAGCATCAAAAATAATTATTGAGGAACAACATGAGGAACTGTATTAAAGGGTTGCCGCGTTAGGAAGGTTGAGAGCCAGTGTTGTCTGGGATAAATCATGTTGTCACCACTGATGTCATTGTTTGATTGAATGTTGACAGTGTCCTGGCTTCCTTGAACCTGCCTGCTGCCCTGGAAGACCTGTCTGGTGAGAGAGTGCCCCAGTCGCTGCTGGAGAAGGCCCAGCAGATTCAGGAGATGGGCGGGCTCAGTAAAATTGATCAGCTCATGAGTGATCTCCCAGAGCTGCTGGCTCGCAACAGAGAAATTCTCAATGAGGTAATTACAATCTGTTTTTTAAAAGGTTAAGAATTGGGCACACAGGCCTGTCTAACATTCTGCTCTTCCAATCTACTCCTTGCATAGTTATTCATTCGTACATGTGGGTCTCCATGGCGAAGTGGTCAAGCCGATTGCTTCGCGCTCTTAAGGTCGTGGGTTTGTTTCATGGCTGCGCCGTTCAGTTCATGGGTGCAATTTTTTATTGAGATCCCTGTGGATCGTCACTGGAGCTGCAGAGTTCGTACTTTCTGCAGCGCTCTCGGCAGGCAGCGAGCCAATTTTGCGGGAAAAGATCAAACCATATGGGATAAAACTCGGTGAAATGAAGTTGATCCTCCTGACTTTAACCTTTATTCTTGCATAATTACGTTGATAGAACTAATGTTAAAAAATTTCACCAAATCTAAGATTGTCAGTAAGCTAGTTTATGTCTATAGTTTGGTGTTAACATACTGAATGAGATGTTTACATTGTCAGTGAGATATTTACATTGTCTTAGAGGTGTTTGGAGCCGCTGTGGTTTACCAGCTGAATGCTTGCCTTCGGATCTGAAAGTCATGGGCTCAAATCAAAATAGAGCCGGATAATTTTTTTTTAAAATAAAAATTTCTTTGGCTCCCAAATAGACCTAGCCTTAAAATGGGTACTAAGTAAAGTTCTGGGAAGTAAAGGTGGCCGGCCACATCACCCATCAAGTGTCTTTAGGTCTAGCACTATATACCCAGTACACCTGAAGGCATGGACAAAGATTCCTTTACTTTATTGAGTTGTCTGTGTTCACAGTATAGTATTGATATTGTCAGTGAAAAGTTTATATTGTCAGTGAAAAGTTGATATTGTCAGGGAAAAGTTGATATTGTCGGTGAAAAGTTGATATTGTCAGTGAAAAGTTGATATTGTCGGTGAAAAGTTGATATTGTCGGTGAAAAGTTGATATTGTCAGTGAAAAGTTGATATTGTCAGTGAAAAGTTGATATTGTCAGTGAAAAGTTGATATTGTCGGTGAAAAGTTGATATTGTCGGTGAAAAGTTGATATTGTCGGTGAAAAGTTGATATTGTCAGTGAAAAGTTGATATTGTCAGTGAAAAGTTGATATTTCAGTGAAAAGTTGAAATTGTCAGTGAAAAGTTGATATTGTCAGTGAAAAGTTGATATTGTCAGTGAAAAGTTGATATTGTCAGTGAAAAGTTGATATTGTCAGTGAAAAGTTGATATTGTCAGTGAAAAGTTGATATTGTCAGTGAAAAGTTGATATTGTCAGTGAAAAGTTGATATTGTCAGTGAAAAGTTGATATTGTCAGTGAAAAGTTGATATTGTCAGTGAAAAGTTGATATTGTCAGTGAAAAAGTTGATAGACTTTTGTCTAGTTCCTGAACCTGAATGCTGCATGTATATCCATTTCACAGATCTGGCTAATTTGTATGCAGACTTGTAGTTCCTTGTCTCTCAGACAGATGTACTCTGACTTCGAAGAAATGAACCTTTTAGTCAACTCCTGCAACAAGCTTGTTGGGGAGGCAGTTGTCTATTCTTGTTTTCCCTACAATGGGACCCCGGAACCCACACGGAGAACAAGCATGCTGTCAAGGGTGACAAATCAAGGATTAGCTGAAGCTGGATGCATCCAACCTAAAGGCCCAAAGGTCCCAGCCCATCTGAACCACAAACACAACATGCCAACCACTGTTTTGAAGTTGAAGAATGCAGAAGAATAACAGATGTACCATATTGTCAGCCAGAAAATAGTTTTTAAATGATGTGTGTCTGTCTTTACTTGTAATTTTTTGTTTTTCAACACAGAGTATTAAGGCTCTGGACGATGAAGAGAAATCTGACCAGCAGTTGAGGGACCAGTTTAAGGAGAAATGGACAAGAACACCTTCTGTCACCTTGACCAGGCCCATGAGAGATGAAGCAAACAAGTACAAATCCATACTGGATACAGCTATCCAAGCTGACCACATTGTCAGGGACAAGTACAACACACACAAAAAGGCTATAGCCCTCTTGTCTGCACCTAAGGTAGGTTTGCTGCATTGATGATACCTTCTGCGCTGTTAGTTCTGGCCTAATTGGGAGGGGGGGAAGGGTATAGACTAACCGCACCCTAGCAAGCATGTTGTAAACCACATATTTAAGGTTGAATGCACAGGAAGGAAGACGTGAGGTAAATTTATGCGTAAAGTACAAGTAGAGGATCCTTACCATGCTACGGGAGCCTCAAGCATATGGTGCTAGCCCCATATTTGTATAGACCAATCAGTGATGTAGACCAATCAGCGATGCAGACCCATATTTGAGTAGACCAATCAGTGATGTAGACCCATATTTGTGTAGACCAATCAGTGATGTAGACCCATATTTGTATAGACCAGTCATCAATTTAGACGTATATTTGTATAGACTAATCAGTGATGTAGACCCATATTTGTATAGACCAATCAGTGATGTAGACCCATATTTGTGTAAATCCATCAGTGATGTAGACCCATATTTTTGTAGACCAATCAGTGATGCAGACCCATATTTGTATAGACCAATCAGCGATGTAGACCCATATGTGTATAGACCAATCAGCGATGTAGGCCTATATTTGTAGAGACCAATCAGTGATGTAGACTCATATTTGTGTAAACCAATCAGTGATGTAGACTCATATTTGTGTAAACCAATCAGCGATGTAGACCCATATTTGTGTACACCAATCAGCGATGTAGACCCATATTTGTATAGACCAGTCATCAATTTAGACCTATATTTGTATAGACTAATCAGTGATGTAGACCCATATTTGTATAGACCAATCAGCGATGTAGACCCATATTTGTATAGACCAATCAGCGATGTAGACCCATATTTGTATAGACCAATCAGCGATGTAGACCCATATTTGTATAAACCAATCAGCGATGTAGACCCATATTTGTATAGACCAGTCATCAATTTAGACCTATATTTGTATAGACTAATCAGTGATGTAGACCCATATTTGTATAGACCAATCAGCGATGTAGACCCATATTTGTATAGACCAGTCATCAATTTAGACCTATATTTGTATAGACCAATCAGCGCTGGGTATTTCAAATGTCATGTCAGCCTTCTTTAGTTCCTAGGATATTTCCTTGTACCCATAAAAAAGCTGGGTTAAGTTTCATGTGTATTATTGTTGTTAGCAAAAGTGATCTGATTGTGTTGTGAATGTAAATCTTCAGTATTCCACACACCTATACCATCTCTTATACTTTTCTCTAACACTTTCATGCTGATACCAACACACACTCTCTCTCTCTCTCTCTCTCTCTCTCTCTCTCTCTCTCTCTCTCTCTCTCTCTCTCTCTCTCTCTCTCTCTCTCTCTCTTCTTTCATCTGTCTCTTTTCTCTGTCTGTCTATATGTGTGTGTATCTATTGTCTCATCTCTCTTCAACTGCGATGTATTCTGCCTTATTCTCACACATCTACACTCTTACCTACAGACACATACTCTCACATTATAACCTTCTCATTCTCTGCCTCACCAGAACATTGAATCTACTAATAGTTAAGGACAATTAATCACTGCTTGAAGGCATAATAGTCAAGATCTTTTTCTCCTGCAGTCTGAGTTGGAGAGTGCCCTACCTGCAGCCAGCGCCGTGGCTTCTCTACAGAACAGCAATGTGGTTCAAACACTTCGTCAGCTCCTGGAGCAGGTGTGTGAATCTCTTTCTGTGACCATGTTCAACACTTGCTGAATGTCGGTTTTTAGTGTTAGTTTAAATGATAATGATGACAGCTAAGTTTTCTTTTGATTCATGAAACTGTCAAAATTTACCTTTGTGTTACGGCCCTTTAGGAGAAGCAAAGAATAGTATTACTCATAAAGTTACAGTTGAAAGGATCAGCTTCATTGAACCGGGTTTTATCCTATTTAGCTGAGCCTCTCTCTGGAGACCGGGTAGCCACCTGCCGCAAGTGTCGCACAAAGTACAAACTCTGTAGCTCTGACGATGATCCCTAGGGATCTCTGTAAAAAACCATGCTCATGAACTGAACGACAGCCGTGAAGCGAATCTGTGACCTTCAGAGCGCGTGGCGAATCGCTTGACCATTTCACCAGAGACCCCAAGTAATATTAAAACCAATATAAATGTACCCTACAATAATGTTGTAAGAGGCAAACAGGCTTGGGGTTAACTGCCTCATCCAGTAACTAGCTTTAATGTTGAAGCAACCAACTGTAAACATTTGGCCCAAATTGGTTCTTCTTCTTTTGTTCACCGGCTGTAAGCTGCTGCAGAAAGTCCTGGTTGTTCACCCATTTGGACTTTGGCTTTGTGGCAGGGCCTGAGTTTTGCGTTTACATCAGTTTTACTGGCTTATTTGTGTGCAGTTGGTTGTTCCTTGCCACTCGGGCAGATCTTGACTTCGAAGGAAGCTCCCAGTTATTCAACTCTTAGGACATGTTTTTTGTGCGTGTGTGTGTGTGTGTAGGCAGTGGGTCTATTCTTGCTTCGCCTACAGTGGGGCCCCGGAACCCACACGGATAGTCCCAAGTTAGTTGAGAGCCAATGCTGCATTTGTGGATACAGGAAAGAACAAGAAGATAGTGTTAGTCTTCTTCGCATTTACCTGCTGTAAACTCCAGAGGAAAGTTCTGGTTGTTCATCCACATCTGGACTTTAGACTTGTTCCAGAACCCGAATGTTGAATGCACATCCGTTTTACAGATCTGACTTATTTGTATGCAGACGGTTGGTTCCTTACCTCTGAGGAAGCTCCCAATTAATGAGGGCCCCGGAACACCTACAAGGAGATAGTGTTAGTATCATCAGCTCTTTTATCATTAAAGGAACCAGCAATCTGCATACAAATGAGTCAGATCTGTAAAACGGATGCACACGCAACACTCAGGTTTTGAAACACGATTGTAGTCCAAAAGTGGATGAACAACCTGAACTTTCCGCCAGAGTTTGCAGCTGGTGAACACAAAGAAGACGACAAAAAGAATTTGCTGTGTGTGATGTCCACAATTCTACAATTCACAGCTGAAAATATTGTTGTTTGTTTTCTTAGGTAAACACAGTCAAGCCGAGAGGGATGTTATTGAAGCTGAATTAAAAGATGCAAAGTTTGACATGAGTAAGATTTAATGTTTGTTTTGTTTTAAACACTTCATTTCATATCACAGTATAGATTTTTATATTTTGCAGAGTGCAGTGTAGTTCCTGTTGCATAGAATTATTTTGGTAGGGTTATCGGAACCTGAGAGCATAGACATCTTGGGCCCTTCAGAACAATTGTAATGTTAGAAGACACACCCACTCATCTATAGAAATTCATGCATTTTATATTATTTAAAATATATTATTATATTGCCATTCAGCACATTATTATTACAGACTTAAACTGCTTCTTCTTGTTCACATTCACCAGCTGTGAATGCCTGAGGAAAGGTCTAGTTGTTTGTCCACTTCTGGACGGTTGTTGTTGCAGAAATTGAATTTTGTGTGCACATTTATTTTACAAATCTTACTTGTATGCAGACTGTTGGTTCTCCTCGCTACTCATGCTGATGCACTCCTATTTAGAAACGCCCTGATTATTGGCCTTTTATGACATGTTCGTTGGGGGTGGGTTTATTCTTATTTTCCCCCCCCCCCCCCCCCCCCCTTTCCACAAAACTGCGCTAGAACCCACACAGGGGACATAAGTAATCAATGTTAACATCATTAACAACTCCCTCTTTCCCCTATGTTTTCATTCTGTTGCCACCCCTGATCTTAATATCAGCATTTTGAATTGATGTGTTAGATAGAACACTTGGTAAACTGTTAACACTGAGTAAAAATCAGTGTCTTTGTTTAAAATGAATTCCCTAATTCATTCATTGTCCAGATAGAATTGTACAGATAGAATTACAAAGGTCAGATTTTTAAGAGCATGCATCTTTCCCATTGCAACATACGCCTGTGAGACCTGGACACTTACTAAACAAGCGGAACAGCGCATAAATGCATTTGAATATAAATGTTACAGACAGGTTCTAAGAATATCTTGGGTAAAGAAAAGAACAAATGCATCCATACTTCAAGAGCTGAATATTGAAGAGGGTTGGCTAGTAAAGACAATAAAACAAAGAAAATTGAAATATTTTGGTCACTTGAAACGTCATAGAAGTCTAGAGAGAACAATAATGGAGGGGTATATGCCTGGGAAGAGAGGAAGAGGAAGGCCAAGGAGAAGATGGGTGCAGTATGTGGCAGATGATCTCCAGATGGGTGTATCAGACGCAGGACATCTTGCTCAGGATAGGAAGGTTTTCTGGAGGGTTGTTATGGCAGCGAGGTTCCGCGAGGGACATGCTACTGAATGAATGAATGAATTCATTGTCCTGTTGTGCTTGATGGGGAGCGGAGCTGTTCACCCCACCTTTGATGTTGCAACCTAGAATATGTGAATGCTTCACACCCCACCTTTGATGTTGCAACCTAGAATATGTGAATGCTTCACACCCCACCTTTGATGTTGCAACCTAGAATATGTGAATGCTTTACACCCCACCTCTGATGTTGCAACCTAGAATATGTGAATGCTTCACACCCCACCTTTGATGTTGCAACCTAGAATATGTGAATGCTTCACACCCCACCTCTGATGTTGCAACCTAGAATATGTGAATGCTTCACACCCCACCTCTGATGTTGCAACCTAGAATATGTGAATGCTTCACACCCCACCTTTGATGTTGCAACCTAGAATATGTGAATGCTTCACACCCCACCTTTGATGTTGCAACCTAGAATATGTGAATGCTTCACACCCCACCTCTGATGTTGCAACCTAGAATATGTGAATGCTTCAATCCCCACCTCTGATGTTGCAACCTAGAATATGTGAATGCTTCACACCCCACCTTTGATGTTGCAACCTAGAATATGTAAATGCTTCACACCCCACCTTTGATGTTGCAACCTAGAATATGTGAATGCTTCACAGCCCACCTCTGATGTTGCAACCTAGAATATGTGAATGCTTCACACCCCACCTTTGATGTTGCAACCTAGAATATGTGAATGCTTCACACCCCACCTCTGATGTTGCAACCTAGAATATGTGAATGCTTCACACCCCACCTCTGATGTTGCAACCTAGAATATGTGAATGCTTCACACCCCACCTTTGATGTTGCAACCTAGAATATGTGAATGCTTCACACCCACCTCTCTGATGTTGCAACCTAGAATATGTGAATGCTTCACACCCCACCTCTGATGTTGCAACCTAGAATATGTGAATGCTTCACACCCCACCTTTGATGTTGCAACCTAGAATATGTGAATGCTTCACACCCCACCTTTGATGTTGCAACCTAGAATATGTGAATGCTTCACACCCCACCTTTGATGTTGCAACCTAGAATATGTGAATGCTTCACACCCCACCTTTGATGTTGCAACCTAGAATATGTGAATGCTTCACACCCCACCTTTGATGTTGCAACCTAGAATATGTGAATGCTTCACACCCCACCTTTGATGTTGCAACCTAGAATATGTGAATGCTTCACACCCCACCTTTGATGTTGCAACCTAGAATATGTGAATGCTTCACACCCCACCTTTGATGTTGCAACCTAGAATATGTGAATGCTTCACACCCCACCTTTGATGTTGGAACCTAGAATATGTGAATGCTTCACACCCCAGCGTCCTTAACGACTAGGGAACTATGTTTCTCTTTCATGTAAGACCTTATATTGACACCCATTCATGCTAATAGTTGTCTATGATGATCCATATGATGACAAGAGTGATATTTTTCACACAGGTGGCAAATTTCTAGGAGCACTGGTCACAGAAGGTCTGATCAATGAAGAGGCACTATCCATGTCAGAGCTTGACAGAGTGTATTCACCTCTCCGTGAACAGGTGTCAGACAGTCTGCACAGGCAAGACATGTTGTTGTCTCAGATTCAGGTGAGTGGCCAGACAGGGTTTCTTCTTCTTCTTCACGTTCACCAACTGTAAACTCCGGCGGAAAGTTCTGGTTGTTTGTCCACTTCTGGACTGCAGTCCTGTCCCAGAACCTGAGTGTTGCTTGTGCATCCGTTTGACATTTCTGACTAATTTTTATGCAGACTGCTGGTTCCTTGCCTCTCAGGCAGATGCACTCTCCGACTTTGAAGGAAGCTCCCAATTAGTCGACTCTTATGACATGATTTGGGCAGGCAGTGGGTCTGTTCTTGTTTTTCCCTAAAACAGGGCCCCGGAACCTACACGGGGAAGTCAGGGTATGAAATTTGTTGACTTTACCAGGCATAGATTTTTCCTTTCAGTTATATATGGATAAATTAGCAACTGTCCGCATGTTTCCTCTCATCCTGCTGCTCATCTCTTCACTAGGGAACAGTGTCAATGAGATAATGAGAATTGCAGCATCATCAGTTCTCGTTATGCCTAGTGGCACATGAGGCTTCAGAGAGGACTTTCCATGCTTTCCTGTCCTGTGCAATCTTCATTGCAGTTTTCCATGTCAAAAATGCCGCACTCAGGTCACTTTACATCGTTCGTCTCCATGTTGTTTTTGGGCACCCCTGTTTTCTCTTTCCCGCTAGTGTCCATGTGAGAGCTGTTTTGGCAGGTATATCAGAATTCATTCTCATAACGTGGCCAAGCCATTTCCATCTTCTCTTGGTTATCATATTGTCTAAAGTTTCTTGGTTTGTAACTTGAAGCAGTTTTGTGTTTAAGATGAGAAATGCAGCAGCTGTTCAACAAAGACAAGCCTGAAAAGACCTTGAACTTGAACTGATTCCTCAGATTCTTCTTCTTTCTTTCTTCTTCTTTTCTTTACTCTTGGAATGTCTCGCGGCATCAGGGCAGGAAGAGATATCTGGAACGGGTCCTTCTCTTTGCTTCGTATAAAGTACTTTTCAGTGTCTCTGATATTTCTGTAGTCCATCATCTGGGTGGTCGACTCTGACTCTGTTACCGCTGTATCTGTATAACACTGCTCTCTGTGGGGCCCTGTCTGATGCCAATCTTGTTACATGGCCAAACCATTTGATTTGTTGTCTACCTATAAAGTTGACTATTGTTTCTTTGCTGACTCTCCTCCTTATATCATCATTCCTAAGTCGATCTTTCCTTGTTACACTTAGCATCGTACCTAAACATTTCACTTCTGTCGTGACTATTCTTCTGTCTTCTGAAGACAGTGTCAGATTGATGCCTAAATGTCCCTGTCCACACTACCCAAAAATATTCTTTGTCAAGATTGGCATTATCAGCCCGTCGATAAATTGCACTCTGCCATTGGCAGATAAAAGACTAGCCATCATCACTTATGATGGGCGAATAACATTTAGACAATAGGCTTTCCACTCTTCATTCATTAGTCAGTCATTATTCTAGGCCTTAGAGCAGGACACAATCAACTTCGCAGCCAAATGTACACAAAGTTAAAGATTGGTGAATCAGCCATGTGTACTTGTGGATTAGCACCGGAGACAGCAGATCATGTCCTCCAAGACTGTCCCAGGTACAACATATCAAGGCAAAACTTTTGGCCACTAGAAACACCAGTGCAAGCCAAACTTTACGGGTTGCTGAGTGAATTACAGTTGACAGTGAAGTTCATACATTGCAGATATAGATAATCTTTTTAAAGCTATTGTAAGATGAAGAAGAAGAATAATTAGTATTCAGATATTTGTTTTTCAGATCTTTTTTTTTTAAGATAAAATATTCCAGTAAAGATCCCATTTTTATGACCTAAAGGTGTTGGGAATGTAGATGAGATGATACCCTGGGGATTATTGCCAGAGCTACGGAGTTCCTGCAGTGTGCGACTCTCTAGCTAGCGGTTCTGCGGAGAGAGACCAGGCAAAATGGGATGAAGCCCGGTGCAGTGTGCGACGCTCTCGCCAGGTGGCTAGCCGTTCTGCGGAGAGAGACCAGGCAAAAGGGGATGAAGCCCGGTGCCATGAAGTCGATCCTCTCAACTTTAATTGTAGCTTTAACTTGACCAGATACAGTCGAGTCTACTTCAGTCGAACTCGAATAAGTCGAATTTCCATTCAGTCAAACTCGGATAAGTCTAATTTCCCTTCAGTCGAACTCGGATAAGTTGAATTTCCCTTAAGTCGACATGGTCAGCTTTGTCCTGGCAATTTTCCTTCTTTTTCTTAGTATTTAAAATCCTGATAAGTCGACTTTGGTTAACTCGAATATTTGCATAAGTCAAATCTAAAAATAAATTCCGACTAAGTACACATCTCTGTTTAAGTCGAACTGTTCTTCTTCTTCTTTGTGTTCACCAGCTGTACACTCTGGCGTAAAGTTCTGGTTGTTCGTCCACTTGTGGACTGCAGCCCTGCTCCAGAACCTGAGTGTTGCGTGTGCATCAGTTTTACAGATCTGATCCAATTAAATGCAGACTGCTGGTTCCTTGCCTCTCAGGCAGATGCACTCCGACTTCAAAGGAAGCTCCCCAGTTAGTCGACTCTTACGACATGCTTTTGGGGAGGCAGTGGGTCTATTCTTGTTTTCCCCACAATAGGGCCCCGGAACCCGCACGGGGGAGTCGAACTGTTGATTTTTACTATGAAAAAAAATTATTTCATTTAAAAAAAATTGTTAGTAAGCCCAGGAAATAACGTGAAATTTTGCAGCTACGATATCTCACTACATACAGTATTAACAATGGTGGCTGGCGGACGAAAGCTAACTTTAAAAAGAAAGATTGAACTGTTGGAAGATATTAAAGAAAGTGGATATAGCTAGAGAATATGGTATTCCAAGTTTGACGCTTTCTGGCATTTAAAGCACAAGGAACGCTACAGAACATTGTTTTTCCAGTGTAAAATCAACAGTGACAGACGGCAAGCTAGAACAGCGACATGAAATTTTGTTGATGCTGCCCTTTAAAAATGGTTCACTGAACTTAGATCGGCAAATGTACCCATTAATTAGGGCAAAAGCAGAGGAATTTGCACTTTTTGGAGGTCAGACAGACTAGAAATGTAGTGTTGGCTGGTTTGATCTGTTTAAAAAATGCCAATTGCATAATATACAAGAGTATGTGTGGAGAGAAACAATATGTTTTTTAAAGCAACGACTAATTTATGGAGACAAGATGTGCTTAAACCTTTCTTTGGCTAATATAATTCTGTACCTGTATCACAGTCAGATGTTTTGGCAGACATGGACAAAATTAACATTTACATGATACAGACTGAGTGCTCAGATGATGTAATCTCACCATCTGTTGCATTTACACATGCCATGGAAAGACATTTTTCACAGTCCAAAATCACAGATTTTTTTCTTTAATTAAATGTCTAAATTTTCATATGGTTTTAATGTTATACCTTCTAAAATAATTAAATATATCAACATTTCTGATATTCTATTGTTATTTATTTGTTAAATTACGGTGTTTCCTAACTGGTATAATTGTTTTACTCAATGCTACTGCTCAGTTTGAGTGTACATTTTCTATCATGTATGCTGTCTGGATAAGTGGAAGCATTTTCTTAGGTCCCTGCAACTTCTACTTATCCAGACTCGAATGTAGTACCCTATGGGTGATGTAATCAGTTGTGTACTTATTGCCTTTATTCCTGAGACGTTTCACTTGTTAAATTTTAGACTGGGTCCATCATGTGGTGGCATCCGCTGCATCTAGCTCACCTGATTGGGCTTTGAGTCTCATAAATTGATGCCTGTGTGAAATTTCAGCAAAATGATGGTCATGGTGGTGTTGCAGAATCACCAAACTCTGCAATTATAGCAGAGTGGTCTTTCTGACTAATGCCTTGTCAGTTCCACAAGCAATTGTTAACCCAAAAGACATGCAGTTTGTGAACCTGAGGCAACAGCTGATTCACTTAGGCTCTTCTGTAGAAAAATTTCTACTGCAGTGGATTCCAGGTCGCTGTGGCTTGGAAGGCACTGACATAGCAGACGATTGGCCAGAAGCGGCAGTGACATGGTACATCCGAATAGCGACTTACCCTGCCAAGAGACTAAGACATTAATACAGTCTAGTATCCAAGAAAGGTGGCTGGATACACACACCAGATTCTCTCATCAAGACTCACTTCATCACCTCCCTAGAGAGGGACAGTGTGTTATATTCAGACTAAGGGCAGGGCACAACAGACTTCGTGATCATATGTTCAAACTTTTGGATGTAGGAACAACGGAGACCTGTCCCTGCAGCGTGGCACCAGAAAATGCTGAGCATGTGCTCCAACACTGTCAACTGTATGCTGACAACAGAGATGTGGTCCGGGCCTGTTCCAATCACAATGAAGACAAAGCTGTATGGTACACGAGAGGATATGGACTGCACGATAGCTTTCATAAAGGCTACTGGCCTCCTGATTTAAGTTTTCTGACAGATTGATCAAAGAAGAGGACCAGTCTATAAGTTAGGACAGAACTGTGATTAAACCTCGTTGACACAAATTCCAAGGTTCTGAAAAAGCAAGTCTGTAGTGAAAAAATATGTGCTCACTGGGACTTATACAATCCTGCTGGGACAAACATTTTGTTTATGTTAACTGAGTGTTCATTTTTAAGTGAGTTCATGTTAATGAGGCTTTTACAGTAGTTAAATTTGGCAGATAATGAACCAGAAATGCCGGCTCTTGCAGCAGCCACTAGTTCCGAAGCTGTCATACAGACATACTGAGCACTGTCCAAAGACATCATGTCATACAGACATACTGAGCACTGGCCAAAGACATCATGTCATACACACATACAGAGCACTGGCCAAAGACATCATGTCATACAGATATACTGAGCACTGGCCAAAGACATCATGTCATACAGACATACTTAGCACTGGGCAAAGACATCATGTCATTCAGACATACTGAGCACTGTCCAAAGACATGTCATACAGACATACTGAGCACTGGCCAAAGACGTCATGTCATACAGACATACTAAGCACTGGCCAAAGA